AGAATCTCTTTCCATGCTGTGCTGCCTGGGCTTGGGGGAGGGGTAACACAACTAATGAAAAACTGTTCTACGTACCCTTTTACTGTTAACATCAGCATTTATTTCTATGTCCATGTCCAGTTTTACACACACACACACACACACACACACACACACACATGAATTTAAGTTCTCTGTAATGGAGGAAATACCAGTGAATTCTTTCTGCCCATATTTTTCTTAAAAGTTCCTATTATGTCATCACTTTGAAGTATAATTTTAATGTGTATAGGATCCTGGGTTAGCCTTTTTTTTTTTTTAACCCGTCTCCTGCCAATGCTTTATAGACATCACTTTGAAGTCTTGTAGCTTGCATGGTTTCTAAGGAGTAATCTGTAATCTTACTGTTGGTTTTCTGTACATAATTTGTATTTTCTCTAGCTGCTTTCAACATTTTCTCTTTTTTTGGCTGTTTGACTATGAAGTGTCCTGCATTGTGTATGTGTGTGTGTCTACTTGCTATTTGTTCTACAGGGAATTATCTGAGTTCTTATATCTAATTTAGTGTTATTTTCATTAGTTTTGGAAAATCCTTGGCTATTATTCCTTCAGATATTTCTTCTATTGTTTTTTTTTCCCCTCTGGGACTCCAATTTCATATATAGGTTAACTCTTGGATCTTCTGTTCTTATTGTTTACTAACCCTTTTTCATCTGTCTTATTTTTAAAATTTTGCACAGTTTTAAAAATTTCTTTCTAAAATTTATTCTAATTTGTTATATATGACAGCAGAATTGCCCCCCCCCCCAATTTCCATTATGAATCAACATCCTTATATCAGAGAAAACATTTGGCATTTGGTTTTGGGGGATTGGCTTACTTCACTAGCATTATATTCTCCAACTTCATCCATTTACCTGCAAATGCCATGATTTTATTTTCTTTTGATGCTGAGTAATATTCCATTGTGTTTATATACCACATTTTCTTTATCCATTCATCTACTGAAGGGCATCTAGGTTGGATCCACAGTTTGGCTATTGTAAATTGTGCTGCTATAAACATTGATGTGGCTGTGTCCCTGTAGTATGCTGTTTTTAAGTCTTTTGTGTGTAGATCAAGGAGTGGGATAGCTGATTCAAATGGTGGTTCCATTCCCAGTTTTCCAAGAAATCTCCATACTGCTTTACATATTGGCAGAACTAATTTTCAGTTCCACCAGCCAATGTATGAGTGTGCCCTTTCCCCCACATCCTCGCCAACACTTATTTTTGTTTGTATTCTTAATAGCTGCCATTCTGACTGGAGTGAGATGATATCTTAGAGTTGTTTTGATTTGCATTTCTCTAATTGCAAGAGATGTTGAACATTTTTTCATATATTTGTTGATTAATTATATATCCTCTTCTGAGAAGTGTCTGTTCAGTTCTTTGGCCCATTTATTGATTGGGTTATTTGTTTTTGTTTTTGTTTTTTGGTGTTAATATTTTTGAGTTCTTTATGTATCCTAGAGATTAGTGCTCTATCTGATGTTCATGGGGTAAAAATTTGCTCCCATTCTGTTGGCTCTCTATTTACCTCAACGATTGTTTCTTTTGCTGAGAAGAAGTTTTTAGCAATCTATGTCTTTTGATTGATGAGTTTAGGCTGTTAACATTCAAGGTTATTCTTGAGATGTGATTTGTATTCCCTGTCATTTCGACTTATTTCTGGTTTTTGATTTGTCTCAGTTTCTCATTTGGTTGAACTTTTCTTTAGTGTATTTTCTCCCTTTGCTGGTTTTTCTTTTTTTTCTCCCCCACTTCATCCTCATGGAATATTTTGTTGAGAATGTTTTGTAGTGTAGGCTTTTTAGTTGTGAATTCTTTTAATTTTTGTTTATCATGGAAGGTTTTAATTTCATCTTGATATATGAAACTTAATTTCACTGTATTTAAATTTTTTTGTGCTTGAAATTTATTATTCCAGGATCTCCTAGCTTTGAGGGTCTGGGTTGAGAAATCAATTGAGATCTGATTTGTTTTCCCCCTATACATAATTTGATTTTTTTCCTCTCATAGCCTTTATGACTTTATATTTTTTCTTTGTGTTATTCATTCTCATTATAATGTGTCTTGGTGTGGGTCTGCTGTAATTTTGTACATTTGGGGTCCTGTAAGCCTCTTGTATTTAATTTTCTATTTCATTCTTTAGGTTTGGGAACATTTCTGCAATTGTATCATTGAAAAGATTGTGCATTCCTTTGGTTTGTATTTCTATTTCATCTAATCTGATACTTCTTAAATTTGTTTTTTTCATGTTATCCCATAATTCTTGGATGTTCTGTGCATGGTTTCTTACCATCTTCTCTGCATGGTGAACTCTACTTTCAATATTATATATTTTGTCTTTATTGTCTGAGGTTCAGTTGTTTTGTCTGTTGGTGATGCTTTCTATTGAATTTATGATTTGGTTTACTGATTGCTTCATTTTGAGGATTTCTGCTTTTTTTTCCCCCTCATGATCTCTAACTCCTATTGAAGTGATCTTTCACTTTCTGTACTTTTTGTTTGATTACACTCCTTATATTGTCCTTGACTTCATAAATCCATCGAACTATGTACATTCTGAACTCCTTCTTGGACATTTCTTCTACTGTGTTATCAGTGGTTTCTGATGTTGAAACATCTTGGTTTGTTTGGGTGCTTTATTCCCTTGTTTTTTCATGTTGTTCATGTATTTTCCCATCTAAAAGTATGGATCTAAGGTAGCACAAATTCTATCCTATAGTCCTATAATGTCCCTGAAGGTTTCTAGCACCTTGCCTTTAATGGTGTCAATAGCACCCAGTGTAAAAATATATAGTCTTAAACCTAATGGTTCCCACTAAGGCATCTACTGCTTTCTCACACTAAACCAAACTATCTATAATATAAAGAGAAAATTTGTTAAAACAGTTTACAATTTCAAATGGTGAATAAGATACCAGAGGTAGTATAGTATGTGATATTCATGAGGGAGGAAGAAAGAAGCTAGAAGCAAAAATTCACAAGAAAAGTGGAAGAGGTGTCGACAGAGATTGGCTGTTGGTTGCAGAAAATTTGGAAAGAAAATCCAAGAAAACAGATGAGAGAGGAATAATATGAACAAAGAGAAAAAAATTAAAGACATAAGAATACAACAAAAATGCAAAACATCATATGTGACTGCATGACCAATGTAATTCTGCAACCTGTACACTCAGAAAAATGAGAAATTATATCCCATCTGATTCAAATGTATGATATGTCAAGATCATTGTACTGTCATGTGTAACTAATTAAAACAAATTAAAAAAAAGAAAAAAAGAAATGCAAGATAAAAAAAATGCAAAACACCATTGATATATCAGTGTCCTCCACACACTGATGCATAAAAAGCACCCTGTTCCAAATATGGTGGAGTTATTAGTGAATTATGGAAAGCCAATCCGTCTCTATCAGTGTTCAACAGTTTCTCAGCCCTGTCTCTCTTGTCTCTTGTCTCTTGGGATCACCAGATCCAGATCAGCCCTCACAGACTGTGTAATTATCTCACAGATCAGGGCTTCAGATACCTCAGGCTCGGTCACCTGTAGTCCCAAGATCTCAATGCTGCTCCTACTTGCAGAGAGACAACCAGGAATACACTCTTGCGAAAGAGCAACCTTGAGATGCAGGAGGAAGGCAAGGGCCACCAGCACTCCCAGTAGGAAGACCCCAGACACCTCCAAACTCACAGGCACCCCCACAATGGACCTACAGGTCTCCACTGGAGTCCTCAGACAGCGGCTCTTGTGGTGGTAAATCTCAGGACCTGGCTGGTGTCCCAGTGGGTGCAGCCATGTGGAACCAACCCTGGAGTCTCCCCCGCAGCAGTCCTCTAGGCTATGGTAGCAGTGGTAGTGGTGGTGGTTGTTGGTAGCAGGCCAAGGATCAGTAGCAGTGGCAGCTGCAGTGGTGGCTGCTGTAGGGGCAGCATCACCAGATGATCATGGGCAGCGGGTGTGTGTGTGTGTGTGTGTGTGTGTCAAAAGCTCTGTCGGTGTCAGGTGCATCAAGGGCAGTGGTGTCTCCTGTGGCAGCAGCAAGTGGTTATAGCTGCAAGGGCAGCAGCACCCAGAAAGAAGACTTCCAGGTGACCTTGGGATGGCAGCAGTGCATCAGAGGCAGCAGTGATCCATTTTTTAAAAATATTTATTTTTTAGTTTTAGGTGGACACAATATCTTTTTTTTTTCTTTTTTAAAATATTTATGTGGTGCTAACTATCGAACACAGTGCCTCAGGCTTGCTAGTCRAGCACTCTACCATTGAGCCACAACCCTAGCCCTAATTACAGTTTTGTAAATATTAAAAAAATTTCATTATAGAGACAATGGAAGAGAAAAGTTTTATAACTATTTCTAATTTGAGTAAATAATATGCATTTCTAGACATCTTTTTGACCCTTTTATTTTTATAGTGAAAAGTTAACTTTTATTTGTACAATCCCCTTTGTTAGGCTATTAAAATTTTACTTATTTTTAACAACTAAGTGGTGTCCCCTCTGTTTGGATTCTTTGGATTATACCAATTTAGATAGTGTTTTATTTATTTGAAGTTTATATATTTTGGCTTCACTATGTATGTCCAATTAGCTTCCTATATTTTTAAAGGTATACTGTTGAAGAAAAACATTATAATTATTTTAAAGTATACGATTGAAAAATATTGCAAATGGTAAGTAGAAATTTTAGAGTTCTTATTAAAAGAAACACCTGCATAAACATGTATTAATTGTTTTTTAAATCAATATGAATAACAGAAAGTAGAACTAATTGTAACATTTTTTACAGTAGTGTGCCATGCAAGATGTTATTCTGTAAGCATAAAATTAAATTTTTATTTTCATTCTATGTAGTTTTAATTATGAAATTATATATATATATATATATATATATATATATATATATATATATATATAATTTCTTTTTATGAGACCATAAGGGAAACCAATTTTTTTTTCTTGTCTGTTTTCTCTGCAGAAAACTTCATCAGCAGTTTGAAATGTATAAGGAGCAAGTTAAGAAGATGGGAGAAGAATCACAGCAACAGCAAGAACAGAAGGGTGATGCCCCAACTTGTGGTATCTGCCACAAAACGAAATTTGCTGATGGATGTGGCCATAACTGTTCATATTGCCAAACAAAGTTCTGTGCTCGTTGTGGAGGTCGAGTGTCATTACGCTCAAACAAGGTACAGAAATGAAAACATGACAGTTCTCTTATAGTTAAGCTTATTGTGAATCAAAAAAATGAAAACAGAAATTACTACTGTGATTAACCAAAGAACAAGATACTTATGGTGTCCTCATTTTAGATAAAGTTTCTTTAATTTTTCACTGATTTTTAAATATATTTGTCTCATTGTTTTGTGTCAGCTAGCTTTTGATTTTGTTAGAATTTTATGGTCTCAGACTTTCAAAGACAATGAAGACAATTTAAGAGATGATTTGGCCTCACTCCTTTATTTTTCTGGTGCAGAAAACTCAGACCCCGAGAAACTAAATTGTATTCTTAAAGCATGCAATTGATCAATGACAGAATTTTAATATAGTTTCTCCATTGCTACACATAGTTGTTTTTTTTTTTTACAAAGATAAAGAGCTATCAAATTTTATTGAACCATATTCTATAACTAAACATTTTTAGGAGTTTATTATTAATACACATAACCCATTCCTCGGATATGCAACACATTACCTTATTTTGAATAGGGGAAAGCACAAAAATGCCAACTTTTTTTGACAGTAGGTTTTCTACTAACACAATGGTCCATCCCAAAGAGAGACAAGTATATTTATAATACTTGGGACTGTTTTAGTTCAGGTAGTTAACTCTCTGCAGATGACAGTTTTACAAACCTTGTAGATCAGTTCTTCCTTGGTCTGTTTCCTTTCCTTTTGAAAGGAGACTTTGAGATTCTTTTCATAATTTTATAGCTTTTGAAGCTACATGCTCTTTTGTTGCTTTTTTTAACATTAATAGAAAAATATTAGACTATGATTATGGAAACTAGAATTTAAAGAAGAAATATTAAAGTTTTTTTATACTCATACAAGATGTTTGTAGTTTACCTCTCTACGTTAGGGAATATGTTAATGCTATCCAAAGAATATTTCGTTGAAATTAGAAAAAACAATATTTAAAAATGTTCATTACAGTAAATTTTTTAGATTTGCCTTTATATCCTCACTAGTATCTTATCACCTAACTATTTACTTAGGTAGTTTTTAAATGGGAAGCTGATATCTTCATATATATTACTTGGACATAATTGTGGGAAATTATTCTCTGCTGTAATTTCATTTCTTCATTTTCTCATTGTGCCCTTTATCAATGTGCTGTTTCATCCAGAACTAATCATGTACTTCTCCTAACCTTTTCCCTTTGGCTTACTTGATTAAGTTTTTTTCTCCCTCTTCTAAGTAGTGCATTGGCTAGAAACTCCATTATTATTTTGCATAGAAATGGTGAAAGTAGACAACATTTTTTTTTTTTTTTTGGCAGGGGGGAGGGTTACCAGGGTTTGAATCCAGGAATGCTTAACCAATGAGCCCCAGGCCTTTTTTGTATTTCATTTAGAGAAAAGGTCTTGCTGAGTTGCTTAGGGCCTTGCTAAATTGCTAAGGTTGGTTTTGAACTCATGATCCTCCTGTCTCAGCTTCCAGAGTCCCTGGGACTATAGGTGGGCTTCACTGACGAGGCTCCTGGTGTTGTTCTCAATTATAGGGGTATTCAGTCTCACTGTCAGGTCTAATGTTAGCTGTATTTTCATAGATGGCAACTAGACCAATTTGCTGAGAGTTTTGGTTTTTAAATAATCAATAGACATTGGGCTTTTTCAAAGCTTTTTCTCCATCTATTGAGATTAAGCTTATATTTTTTCCTTTCTTTTTGAATATGATGAAGCTTACATTGACTGATTTTTGAATGTTAACCCAACTCTATTTCTGTGAGAAACCCTATTTGGTCATGATAGACTATCCATTTTCTATATTAATGAGTTTGATTCGAAAAAAATTTGTTTTGAATTTTTGCTTCTATGTTCATTAGGCATATTATCTGTATTTTTCTTTTCTTGCAGGATTTTTCTTTGGTTTTGAAATTAGTTTAATGCTGGCCTATTGGAATGAGTTGGAAGTATTATCTTCCATGTTTTAGGAGAGTTTGTGTAAAAATTGTATTATTTCATTTTTCATTGGTTGGTAGTATTTCACCAGTAAAGCCATCTGGACATGCAGTTTTATTTGTTAAAAAGGGGTATAGTTTTAATTCCTTAATATAGTGTTACTCATGTTATATATTTTTTTCTTGAATGAGTTTGCATAACAATGTCTCTCAAGGAATTTGTCCATTTCCTCATAAGTTGTCAAATTTACTGATATAAAATTGTTTGTAGTATTCCATTATTTTTCTTTTAATGTCATAGAATCTGTAGTAATATCACATCTATATTTCTTAATATTGGTAATTTGTATATTTTCTCTTTTTTTTCCCCCTATTCAGTCTAGCTAGTTTTTTTTTTGTTAATTTTGTTGACTTTCTCAAAAAATCACCTTTTGGTTCCATTGATTTTTCTCTATTGTTGATTTTTCTTTTGATAATTATTATTTTCTTTTACTTCTGCTTACTTTGATTTTAATTTTCTAGTTTCTTAAGGTGGAAGGGGAGATATTATTTTGAGATATAGCTTTGAGATATTGTTTTGATATATTGTTTCTTTTTTAACATATAGGTCATATGCTGGAAATTTTCCCTAGGTGCTACTGCTTTATTGACATCCACCAAATTCCCATGAATATGTTGTCTTATTATTTCACTCCGTTAAAAAAAAATATATATATATTCTTCTTTGATCCCTTGAGTTTATAGAAGTATGCTATTTAATTTTCAAATGTTGGGAGGTTTCTATAGATTATTTTGTAGTACCAGAACATACTTTGCATACCTTTTATTTAATTGATCCCTTTATCATTATTAAGTGGTCTTCTCTTTTCCTGGTAATATTCTTTACCTTTGAAATCCATTTTGCCCAATCTTAATAAAAAAATCCACTTTTTTTTTTTGTGGTGTTGGGGATTGAACTCAGAGCCTTATGAATACAAGCAAGCACTCTACCAACTGAGCTGTATCCTCAGTCCCAGCTTCTTCAACTTTATATTGGGTGGTATTAACATGCATATATATTTCTACTCTTTAACTTAAATCTTATTTGTATCTTTATATTTAAAGTACTTTTTTATCTTTTAAAATATATTTTTAGTTGTTATTGGACACACTACCTTAATTTTATTTATTTTTTTATGGTGCTGAGGATGGAACCCAGTGTCTTGCACGTGTTAGGTGAGCGCTCTACTGCTGAGCCACAATCATAGCCCCTTAAAGTACTTTTTTTATGGCATAATATAGTTAGGTCTTACTATATTATTCAACCCGACAATCTGGCTTTTAGGTGGATGTTTTGACAATTTACATTGTATGTGATTATTCATGAAATTTGGTTTGATTACATTATCTTGGTTTTTGTTTTCTCTTTGTCTCATCTGGTCTTTATTTTCGTTTTATTTTTTCATTGTTCTTTTTGATTACTCAAGTATTTTTTATGACTCTATTTTTTCTACTTTATTGACTTCATAGGTATAACTCTGTCTTTTATTAATTGCTACAGGATTTGTAGTATAGAGATTTAAATTATCATGGTAAACCTTCAACTGATATTATACTATTTCAAGTATGGTATTAAGAAGCTTACAATAGTGTACTTCCAATTTTTTCTCTTTAGAGTCTGTGTTATTGGTGTCATATTGTACTTTTACCGGTTTTATAAACCCCACAGTGTATTGTTATTTATTTTGCTTAAAAAGCTTATCTTTGAGGGGTTTTAAATAATAAGAATTTAAACTGTAGGGTTAGGGTTGAGGCTCAGTGGTAGAGTGCTTGCTTAGCACAGTGAGGCACTGGGTTTGATCCTCAGCACCACATAAAAATAAAGGTATTGTGTCCAACTACAACTAAAAAAATATTTTAAAAAGGTATAAACTGTACACGTATTCATGTAATTACCATATGTAGTGCTTTTCTAAATTTTTATGTAGCCTCATATTTTATCTGCTCAAAGGAAATTCATTCAGTTTTCCTTTTAATGAAAGTGTTCTGGTTAATATTTTAAACTTTTTTATGCAGAAAATTTTGTCTTTATTTTTCCAAAGGTTTTTTTTTTTTTATGTTGGATATAGAATTCTAGGTTGACAGTTTTTTCTTTTGGTATTTTAAAGGTATTACTTCACTGCCTTTCCCTTTCACTGATTCCAACAACAATGATGATATATAAATATATATGTGTGTGTGTGTGTGTGTGTGTGTATATATATATATATATATATATATAGCATAATGTTTGTTTCTATTGCTGCTTTTAAAATTTTATTTTATCACAAGTTATATGCAATTTATTATGATGTTTCTAAGTGTTTTTTTCTTCACATTTTTTGGTATCTTTTTTTTAGCTTTTTGTGAGTTTATTACTTTTCATTGAGTTTGGGGATATATTGGCATTATTTATTCAAGTACTTTTACTGATTCCTTCTCTTTCTCTTTTCCTTCAGGGATTCCTTTACCAATATGTTGGGCTGCTTGAAGTTGTTGTACAGATCTCTTATATTATTTTCATTAAATCAAAATTTGTTCTTCCTGGGTTTCATTTTGTATACTTTTTGTTACCATGCCTTCAAGTTTACTAATCTTTATTGTTCAACATCAAATCTGCTGTTTATACCATTCAGTGTATTTTTTCATCTCAGATATACTTTTTGTGTCTAGAATTTCAATTTGAGACTTTCTCTCTCTTTGGTAACTTCCATGTTCTTAATTTTTTGAATGTATGAAATACAGTCATGTTGTGATGTCCTGCTTTGCTAATTCTAACATCTCTGTCTATTCTGGCTTGGATTTGATTGATTATTCTCATTATGGTATGTGTTCTCCTGACTCTGAATGTCTAGTATCTTAGGTGATGTCAGGCACTGTTAAGTTTTACCTGTTGGATGTTGGCTATTTTTGTATTCCTATTATTCTTTAAGCTTTTTTTTTTTTGGTGATACAGTTCAGTTATGTGGAAACAGTTTGATACTTTTGCGTTTTGCATTTATAGTGTTTTAGGTGGCTCTGAAGTAGTGCCCAGTTTACCACTAATTA